ATGTTGGAGGGAGCTTCAGAAAGTGCCTGGAAACATCCCATTATCTTCTCATTCCACTTTCCCACACGCTCCGCGAGGCTGCTAACTGTATTGCCCGTGGCCCTCAAGTTGATCCGGACTCAGGGAAACCGTACAGGGCAGGGTAGCCTGCCCCTTTGAGCTCCTGAGACTGCAAAAGAGGAGCAGGCAGCCCCATCTTTGCCCCTCGGAGCAGCTAGTGGATCGGAACTGCTGTATTATTAAGATATTTCTTCACATTGGTCAGACATAGATGCAATACATGCTGGCCCTTCCCGGCAGTGTTTGCGGCAGTGGGGACGGGGGATCTGTGTACTGTGTGGTCTCTCGGGAAGGAGGCCCTGATAGCATCTGTTCCTCTCCCCGCAGTGAAGCCCCTGGGAGCCACCAGCGAGACACGGAGCCCGGGGAGCGCCACGCAGCCCTGCGGACCTCGGTGGCCTCCCGTCTGCTGCTTCACCACAGGGTTGCTGCGTGGTGGCTAGCTGGAAGGGACAGCCTCCCCGGCTCCAACTTCGCCATGGTGCTTGGGACCCAAGAGGGTGCTTCAGGCCGCTCCTTGGAAGCCAGAATCTGGAGTGCAGATTCCCAGGCTGGGGCAGCGATCCCAGATGATGAAGATAATAATAATAATAGTAATAATAATAACCACAGCCGCCCGCTGTGTGCTAAGTGCTTTGTGAGGTTTGGTCAACACAGCCTCCACGCCGAGTCCCCCTTACCCACAAACCCACATCCCCAAGCTGCCATCCCCAGCGGGCGGATCATCTCTCTCCAGAGTGGGTACGCAAAGCATTAAGGAAGCCGGTGTTCTCCTGGCAGGGAGACGAGGCCCAGTCCCTTGGGGACTTGTTCGGTTCCAGCCCTGTGAACCTGACCCCTTTGAGCTCCAAGACCCCCAGAGCAGCATCTGACCGGCCTCCCCGGGAAGTTCCACAGCTGGAAGAGAGGAGAACAGACTCGCTTTGACCCTTTTGTGCAGAGACCTGGCCTCAGCTCAGGGCTTGGGCCCGGAGCCTCCTGAGCCCCACACTCAGATGTCCCGAGCCTCGTAAGAAGCATTGCTCTTGCTTCCCAAAGCCCAAGGGCTGGTCAGGGCCAGACTCGGGGGCGGGGGGCGGGGGGCCTCTTCTCCTTCCTGAAGTCTGGCCCTGGGCCCTGCCTCCCGTCTCCAGATTGTCCAGACTGGTCACATGTTGGCTTCTTGTGTGTTTTCCCTTCACGGACTGAGTGTTGACAGCCAGGGCTGGTGCAGCCCATGTCACCAATAAATTGTTCCCTTCCCCACTCACGGCCTTTTCTGCTGACATCAGAGCCACTCTCGGTCTGGGGTCTCTGGGTGGGCGGCTGGGTGCTGGGTGCCTCCAGCCAGAGATGGTTTCCCCCAGGAGGTATAAGCTGTACACCTGCTTCCGGGGAGCGCCTGGAGGTGCCTGGGACCCACCATTCCATAGCATTCTGGGAGTTGAGAAGACAAGTCCTGACTTCCCACCCAACAAGGTAACTCAGAGCAGGAACCCAACCGTGGTGCTGGTGGCCCTGTGCTCCCCGCAGTCCTCTGTCCCCCTCCCTTCCAGGGCAGTTGGCCTGGGGCATACTCTGGACTCCCGCCCTGCCTGTTTCTTGAATGCTCGCCTGTCTTCCCGTCTCTCCCTGTCCACCCCACCCAGAAGCAGAGAGCTTCTGCCCTCCCAGGGTGTGACCGTCTAAGAAAGAGGTGGTCATCCCTGGACTCTCTCCCTGGCCTCGCATGACCTGAAAGGGCACCACCTGGGGAGAGCATGCAGAGGGGGAGGGCGGTGTCGCTGCTGACCGACCAGCAGACGTGCCCGCGTCCGGTGAGCGGGGGCTGGGAACAAGTTGGTCTCACTGGTCCGAGGGTAGGCGTGGAGGAGCTGCCGAGATGGGCGGTCCTGAGTCAGGGTCTTGGGGCTGCAAGCTTGGCCAGAGGGGGGACTGACACTGGGTGGGGACTCACTCATGTGGCTAGGGGCTGAAGCCTCCCATAAGGCCCTCCCCAGAGGATGTGACCTACAACACAGACCCCCACCTGGAAACTGCATGTCTCTCGCTAGTAAACTCACCTGACAAATGACCCACCATCACTTCCGTCGTACACGATCGGCCACACCAGGCCAACCCTGGTACTAGGTGGTGGGAGGGGTCTACACAAAAGTTTGACCACTCAAAGGTAGGCAGCCTTGGGTGCCCTTTTGGAAGCTGCCTGCCATCGCCACTGACCCTCGCTAAACCATTCTCGCTACTGACTCACCGGGGTTCCGGGGCTCATTGCAATGGCCACACAGAACTCAGCGTTCGTGGTTATAGGGTTGATCAAGGACGTTAATAGGTTATGACGCAGACGGGAAATCCTCAGGAGAGAGGCCTTCAGTCGGGACACGGTACAAAGCTCCCTGGGGTCTGCTCACCAATGCCCGAAAGGCGCACCCCTCTGCGGTCAGCCTCCACTTAAAGGCACTCAGCTCAACCTTCCTTCGGTCAGCAAGCCCAGCTCTCCCAATTCAGTGCCCAGAGGCACCCACTCCACCGGCCAGTCCCGTGGCCCAAAGCACTTGGCTGTACTCACTCCGGGGTTTGGGAAATCCATCTCTCATGCTCTGGCTCCTGCGTTCCCAATGTCAGAGCCGGCTTCTGGCTCCGACAACTTCACTGTGCAGGGATCTCGGGACCGAGGATGCACTCCATTCCTGCCTCTTGCTGTGAGTGGTCAATGATTCACCGTTACACTCAGGTGAATGCTATCCGTGTCTTCCCAAACCCACGCAGCAAAGGCGGTTTGGTGGGAGTGCAGAGCCTTGGGCTAGAGGAGCGGCCATCTGCAATTCACTGCCCCTGCATGTCTGTCAAAGACAGTGGCCCCAGACGGAAGCTGCATGCTCCTAGTAAACTCATCTGGCAGGTGACCCACCGTCGTCTGCCGTACACTATTGGCCACCCCGGCCAAAGCTGGAGTTTCAATAGTCAAGGGTGGGGACCCTTGGGTGCCATTTGGAAGCTGTCCCTGCCCCTCACTCATCTCCACGCGGCACCTCTCAGTGCCCTCTTGACGCGCAAGTGTGACACCGGAGAGTCCTCCCTGCCCTGACCAGGTCTCCAGGGACACTTCGCAAGGCTTCCCCGTGCGGTCCTATGGCCGAGAGCCTGGGCACAGGGGTGGCCACAGGGGCTGGCTGAACTGTGGGCATGTTCTGTGGCCATCAGCCTCAGGTGGGCGTGGGAAGGTAAGGGTGCTGCTCAAAGGGACTGAATCCGCAGGTGGGGGTTCAGCAGGAAATGGAGGAGAAGGAGGGGCAGAGAGAGCAGCCAGAGACCCTGCGGGCTTCTCTCCCGCTGGATCACAAAAGCCCTGTGGGCACTGAGTTCCTCCCCCTGCTACCCAAGGAAGGCCACCAATTGGCATCAACCTGTCACCACTTGCTGGCTAGACCTGGAGGGAGCATTCTGTGCCAGACCTCTGTCTACCCCATCTTCTTGGGCAAGGACTTCCCTCAATGCCCAGGACCCTCCTTCACAGTCCCACCCACAAGAAAGCAGGGGGCGGGCACGGGGTCCATTGAGCACCTGGGTGTTAATGATGGGGGAGCACAGCCCTCCATCAGAGGGGACTGCAGAGACCTCGGTCACGAGGCTGCACAGTGGGCACAGCACCTTCGGCATCACGGCAGCCAGACAGGAGCCTGGTCTTAGCTGTCCAGAGCTGCTACAACAAAAACACTGCGTGTGTCTGGCTCTCACAAACACAGTCATGTTCTCAAAATTGAGGAAGCTGGGAGACCTCTTTAGTGCTGAAAAGCAAGGCTGTCACTTTGAGGAGTACGGGGCGCCCGACAGCAGCCACGGTGCTTTCTATCACGTCCTGCCCATGTGAGCGCTGGACGTGGAATAAGGAAGACCGGAGAAGATGGTGGCGCTGGAGAAGCCTCTGGAAAGTGCCGTGGACTGCCCACAGGACAAGCACATCCGCCTCGGAAGAAGGACCTGCAGAGTGAGTGCTCCTTAGAAGCGAGGGTGGCGGGACTCTGTCTCACAGGCATCGGACACGCTGTCAGGCGTCCCTGGAGAAGGACATCGTGCTTGGTAAAGTGGAGGGGCGGCAAACAAGAGGCAGGCCTCAAGGAGACGGATGCACACAGTGGCTGCAACAATGGGCTGAAGCTCAGGAACCCTCGAGAGGATGGCTCGGGACCGGGCAGCGTTTCATTCTATTGTACGGGGGTCACTAGAGTCTAAACTGATCTGATGGAACAAGCTCAACCACACGGCAGACCCGGGGGGCATCGCGGTGGCATCCTGCCTACCACAGCGGAGTGAGTACCTGATGAAGCCAGTCACAGGACCTTTTGGTTTTCCCGGTGCCTCAGAAAGGTTGACTTACGTGGCTGCCCTGTGGCTACGTGTGCAAGAGTATGACAAGGAAGCTTGAAAGATGATGAGCAGGACCAAGATGCGGCCCAGAGACACACAGTGAGCACCTGCGGGAGAAACATGGTGCCCATAGACTTGCTCGAAGCAGGTTGCCGCCAACCTCCCCTGTGTCGGAGCGGCAGCTCCTGTGAGCAAATGAAGCACAAAGAAAGGAGCGATTGCTGCATCGTTTGGTTTGAAGAAGGCTTTCTCCCAGCCAGCGCGTCATAGCAACCCCAGAAGGCAGGGCGGAACTGCCCCGGTGGTGTGGAGAACTGACACCGAGGGAGATAGGACGAGGACCAATTTACAACAGAGGGGTGCTGGAATGCTAATGCTCCACGGTGGGCAAAGCACCACTTTGGTAAGTTAGAGATGAAGTTCAAGGGCATTACCCTGCTTTACATGTCATTCCCACAGAGCTCCCCACCAACAGCTACACTGCTTTAAAATGAGCACACGGTTGATTCTATCTCCCGATAGATGCGGACATGCTATTGTTCTCTCCTCCCCCCTCAAGCCTTCCCCCAATGCAAGTATTAGGTTTCCTCACCTGTGAGCTCAGGGACTTTACTGTGGTTACCACCCACCTTGTGACTATACAACTACTGAATGTGCACACCTTGACCACCTATAAATATCCCAAGACAGTAAAGACACTCTCCCGCTCTCTCTTCCCCCACCTCCACGTGGACCACTAAGAGGGGCCGCAGTGCCATAGTCTATCTTACTCTCTCCTATCTCCCATGACTTTACTAGAACCTTTATATCTTATCGCCGTATAATGGCGCCTACAGACCCCTCGGTTGTTAGAGGCTGGTTTCCTCTGACACCGGTGGGTTTCCAAGACTGGCAGCTCTGTGTTGGTACAGGTGTTGCTACTGTTGTGGTTAAGGTACTATCGAGTCATCCAACCCTTAGTGACTGCACACACACAGAAGGAAAGGCTGCCCGGTCCCATGCCCTCCTCACCACGGTTCCTGTGTCTGAGCCCACGGTTGCAGCCACGGCATCCGCCCATCCTGTCAAGCGCCTTCCTCTCTGTCGCTGCCCCTCTGCTCCCGAAGAGAGCCCTGGTGATGTAGTCCCTGCCAGTTGGGCTGCGACCCCACATGGTCAGCAGTTCAAAACCACCAGCCAAGAGAGACAGAGGGGCTTTCTACTCCCTTAGACAGTCACAGAGAGGTGCTGTGCATCGGCACCGGCTCCCTGGCAGTGAGTTT